AGTTTCGACTCATGGAGCAGGAATGGCGTTTCCATTCTCTAAGAAATATCGGTATATAATAAATTTGTATTTGCTTTTTATGAATTTGTATTTTCTAATATTTGCTCATTGGCATATACAATTTATGAAATTTGCGCATAAATATATAATAGTTTTTCATTGTAGTCATTGATTTCATGTTAATTTTATTGCTTTTAAACATTAATATTTATATCATTTGACAATGAGATGCTCAGTGCTTTGGGCGTTTTGGCAGTGGCTAAAGTTCTCGTTTGTCAAGCAGGACAGGACTAATAAGTGTTTATCTGAACCGCTCTGTGGATGAACCCATATGGTGTTTTACGAATGCGTATAAAGAAATCTTAACAGCTGTTTGTCAGAGGCAGAGGAAGTTGAATGTCATCTGGAAAGACGGTAGTTCGATTTGGCTCTTTTGAGGAGAAAGCGCAAAGAAGAAGCATAGATGCAATTTCATTTGTATACAGGAAGAGCTGGTCCTCCAAAATCGTCTCCTGCCATGTGAAGTCACCAAGACTGGTGATGCTGTGCTTCATGCCTCGTTGTCCACGTCTCACAGCCATACAGCATTGCCGGCAGGATGATAGAATTGAAGAGGTGATGGTGGGTTTTTTTTTCTAATATTGCCATGAAGGGCGTCATTACGGAATATACAGAAACGTCCGTCTGCTGTTGAATAAAACTCGCACCGACCGACCTCTCTCCGTTCACTCTTCCCAGATTATTATTATGGCGTATACGGAATTCTTGGCCCAGAAGAGTGCATTTTTCGACTTCTTCGACCTTAACGTTTAATATTACCTGGCTTTCAGAAGATGATCCGAACACAGGATCTTTGTCTTTAACTGGCCGGTTCTTCGTCCGACTTCTGCACTTTTCTGTCGAGCTCGCCCAGCTTGTCTTGTGGCTGGTTGGCGTTTAGCGCAAGCAGCAACATGTCATCAGCGAACTTTAGTGGTTTGAGCTGTTCACCATTGATGTTAATTCCACCCTTCCAGTTCATCGCCCGGAACACCATTTCCGAACAGGCAGTGAATAGTTTGTGGGAGATAGTGGCCCTGTGTTTCACGCCATTTTCTTTGCGAATCCGGAAGGGGTGACGAACAGCGTGATGTGAATTAGCCAGAGCTCTCGCCCTTTGGCCGATTTATGTAACGGTTGTCGATGCTCTGTTCTGCGAATTCTGTCCACACTGCAGTGTACTCGACAGTGTGATACCTTTTTTCGTAGTCGAGTAAAGCTAGACACTTAGTTGACTTAAGGTAAAGACGTTTTCCATTGTGATATGGCTCCTTCGGAATCCTGCCTCTTCTCTTTTGGGTGTTGTTCTTCCAGACTTGTTGACGGTTTGTTAGTAATGATCTCAGTGAACAGTTTGTAGACTTGTCAGAGCTGCCGCATTGAACGACGGTTTCTGATATCTTCTTTCTCGTCCTTCTTGAACAACACGGTTGTTTTTGGCTCCTTAAAGCCTCATTGTATCTTTTCCGTTTCCAGGTATCAGCTGAGCTTCTTCGTTCAGTGTCTACTGTGAAAGCATCATACCCTGGTCTGATGATTTCAGTTATTAATCGTATTTCCCTGGGGCTCTTCCTTCATTCATTTGCCGCGCGGCATGCCGAACTTCGTGGATGAAGACCGGTAGCGCCATTTATTCTGATAGTTGAAATTATAGTGAAGGGGAGTGTATGCTGTTGTCGCGAAGGGTTTGGAAGATTTCTTGCAGATAGACTGCATTTCAGCTCTGTCATACGTCAATGCATCGTTCCCGTCCTTTAAAGCCGTTATAGTCATTTGATACAGCGTCAGTTTCTGTTCTGCATTGACTGAACCTTCTGTGTTCTTCAGTTGTTGTTTCTAATTTTCGCAACAGGAAGGTCTCGAAGTCCTCCTTCAGCTTCTGTCTAATGAGCTTGCAGAAAAAAGGGTATTCCACGGTGCTGATCGCATCTTTTAATTTTCATTTGCTTCTCTAGCAAATTCTTTCTTGCTTCCTTTCACCCTATGCTGTTGAAACCTCAAATAACTTTATGCAGCTCCTCTGTTTCTCGACGAATATCTCGTAGTCGTAATCGCGGCTGCGTTCCAGTATCCCGTCTTACCTGGAAATGCGGGCTTAGAGGATTGCATTGTCAAATTCTTTTGGTCGTTACCTGTGATTCGTCGCCTACAGTGCCTTCCTCTTGAAAGTTAGCTTTGCCCGTACTTCTCTGTGGCTCACTGCCGATGTTAAATGATGGTAATACTGCTATGTCTCGGATGATGCGGCGTTTATCGAACAATATGAAGTCGACGTTGTTCTTCGTTACCACATTTGATGCGAACGTGCACCTTCCATTGTACTTCTTTTTGAACCAGATGTTGCCAGTGTACACGTTTCGGTTCTGCCATTGTCATCAAAATATCTCATAGCTCATTTCGATCTGCAGCGCCGTATCTGCTGGCAGATGTTTCACCGACCCTTCCTCGTCCGTCCTTGGCATTGTAGTCTCGCATGACGATGGTATACATGAACGTTGGAACCAATAGCTGTTCTTAATCGAATTATTGCATCTCCTCAGCTCTACTCTTGTGAGTATATCTTTAGAAGATGTTCAGCGTCCTTTCCTTGATTTGTTCTGTTACCGAGTTAGCTTGTTGGAACCTCACATCGCGACCACATTCTCATCTGATAGCCTACGTACCTGGCTCACCGTAAAGGATTGGTCATGATTATGATCGACTGGTACCTCGCATGCGGATTAGATGACTTGGTCGTCATCTACTACGGTGGGATGATTATATCAGGAATGGGAAGACCGCGTTTAGAGGGAGAATTCTTGAATTCGCGAGAAATTACTCGCATGTTCAGACCGGCGCAATTCATCATCGGTTACCAGCCGATCCGAGTGATCCAAGAGATATAAAGAAATGAGCTTCTGAAATGCCACCAGACACTGTTAGAGTTCGATCAGTAAGATAAGGGTATACATTTATGCGCTGTATCTGCTCAAATGCCATTGATCTATGAGTTGTTAGGACTGACCCATTGATATCTAGCACATAACGGAGCTTGAAACCCGTAATGGAAGTTCATCTCTTATTCGCTGAAGTTTGGTGTTATTCGAATGTCTGATCATGGTTTTTTTGTTTCATCAAGAAAAGATAATCATGTTAGCTCAGTTTTTGTCAGTTTTTCATTGGAAGGGATGTTGAGTAAACAGAAAAATTTTGTCTCCTCTTTTGAGATTCCAGGTAAAGAAATATTTTCAGCATATTTTTTGAAAAAAATAGGTAAAAGATCAGTTTGAGGGCCACGTCGTCGGATTTCGAGAAATTGTCCATATGGGTACCGTCAAATTATTATATGAAATTAGGTGCAAAATTACTAAAAGAGTAGACGACATATAACGAAATTGCAGCTGTATTGTAGTGCTTCTAACCCTCATTCCGATTGCAGTCTTAATTCTTTGGAAACGGGTTGCCTATAAAAAATAACAAAATTCTCAGCCACCTGGCAAGATGGCCCAACGTAGATATACATCAGAATGGACAGGACCAGCAAATTAAAAGTGAAGACAAACCACTGATCTGCAGTTCGTGAAGAAAGGAAGTAAAACAACTCGTAGAAAATTTAGTGCAAGTGCATCACAGCATATCATTGGATGATACCAGATAAATAGAATATCCCGAGAATTTCGTAAGACCGAAGACAAAGGAAGCCCTTGTCATTCATTGTGACCATTATATGAACAACGATATTCGTACAAAATTACGTTCTTATTTAAACGGAACTATGAATCAGTTTCTCTCATTCAGGTCGAAACCTCTGTACTACATTTGCTTTTAATTTTACATGTTTACTGTAGCATTTATCTGTTTTTTTCTAATTTTACTCTTTCAAAAAAGATCGAGTACGATCTGAATGTCAGTGATTTTTTTCGCAATAAACTTGATATAAATGATGACCCTCCAAGAACCGATTTACGGCATACTGCAATGACCCCAACTCCGCTTTTGCCGGTCCCAAGTCCGGTTGAGAAAGGAGGAGAGTTGGAGACATTTGCCGTAAAACTACGCTACCTACTACGCCGTGTGTCTCCGTAAAACTACGCTACCTACCCTTCGTGGTATTGGCATCATTGAAAATTATACCGGCTCGGTCGTCCTCCGGGTTACTATGGGCCATAGACTGCGAAATGTCGGCCATCAGAGCCTGTTCCTCGTTGTCCCGCGCTGGGCGTCGCAGCACAACAACGCCTGATGAAGATCGATGGAACGAAGATGCCTGTCTGCAACAGTGTCACTACCCGCTCTGAATGTGAGAGGCAGATAGCGTGATGCCATTATAGCACGTCAGAAAAGGGTCCACGAGAGCGACACCACAAATGGGAGCTTAAAGTCGGAAATTTGAGCATATCCTCACTCAGAGGAAAAGAACAAAAGTTAGTTGATGAAGCCATAAAATACCAACTCGACGTTGTTGGACTCTTGTCAACAAAGCGCCTAGGCTCTGGACTCCTGAACCTCAATGGATGGAAGCTATTCTACTCAGGCGTCGATATCACGACTCGCGCTCAGGCCGGTGTTGGTGTTCTGGTAGAAACCAACTTTGCGGATATAATTATTGATTGGAAGCCTATCAGCGGAAGGATGGTAATCCTCCGACTGAAGCTACAACAGGCTAAATCGATTACCTTGGTGCAGGTCTATGTGCCCAATTTGGAGGGAGAATAAAGACTTTCCTTGAGGAAGAGCAGTGTGTTCCGTCC